TTTATTAAGATATGCACAAAGCATGCAAATAGTTAAACATCTGCTTAAATACTTCTGGCTTCAGCTGGCTTATAAACGACGACGTTTATAAGTGAGCCGTCCTTATTGAATTTTCCGTATTTTTTGTCAAATTATTAAAGGAAAATATATGAAAATTTAAGAGTATTTGCAATTGTTTATGCATGAAGGCAATTAAATTTGAATAAAGTTTTGTAGTTTGTAGAGTTAACTGTTATGACAAAGAACTAACATATTCTAATCTTCTTGGAGTGAATTTAAAATTAAGATGTTTTCTTAAAGTAAATTTAATTATATTTTCAAAAAAACTCCTTACAGTAACTGATTCAAGTTTTTATGCAATTCCTGCAAAAGTAACTTTTAAGTTACTTTACGATTAATGAGTTCTAAATCCAATTTTTCATAATTGTTAAAGAAAAACGTTTCCAACAAGCGTAAAAAATCCACAATATCTTTTTAATTACTTTAAATTCAAATCCATTAAAAAGGGTCTCTTGTTAGTTGTAAATATGCACAGAATTTTAACTGGATGCGTTCATGACCCTAAAAAGTCCAATTATAAAAAAATGTGATTTATTTTACGCTTCAAAGGATACATTTGAATAGATATTAAAAAAAATAATATATTAAGAATAAAAAACCCAACATTTGCTAGAATGCCAATTAAGGCATGGCATAGAGACGTTGTTAGTAATATTAACAACTAATGGCGTAAAAAATGAAACAGAATTTTATTCAAAGAAATGGTGCAAATAATGTAAAATCCACAAGAGTGTATGAATGTGAAGTCAAGTATTGGTAATTTGCTTAAAAAATGTAAATAAACGGAAACCCGCCGCATTATTTTTAGTTGCAAAAGCATTGTATTGAGACCCATTAACTTGGATGCCACATATTGACAAAATTACCGGGTTGAAATTTATTTCCGAAATTAAACAGAAAAAATTGTATAGGTTTTAAATTGAATATTCTTTTTGCATTCTGCTTGACTCAAAAAATCTTTCTTCTAAATTTTCTTCCATTTCCAAATAAGAAAAATGAAAACGAACAGAGTTTATTAATTTTTTGACACTAACACCTCAACTAAGCTGGTTCCTGCCTCTTCCACATGGCAAAATGGTAAAAGTTTTTGATGTGAAAACAAACTTTTTCATTGTTTTTCGTCATTTGTTTCAAAATTGTTGTCTTGTTTGTGTTGATGAAGGTGAGGACTTTACTCCAATTTTTGTTTTAATTCATTAGTGAGAAACTTTTTCACTGGCTAATTGAAAAAAAAATCTACCACCTATCGCCTACCGTTGTGCCTTTCCTATCCGAAGCGTAGGGTTCAAAACGTAAATGAAGCAAAAATGATTTTTATATTTTGTTGAAAAAGGGAAAGTTTCCCTTATAAAAATAAAGTTTACCATTTTTGTATAATCATATCCGTCTTATATACATTGAAGTTGCAAAAGTTTGTCGGCTGTAATCAAATTTTGAAGAATTCTAAGGATTTCGGCATGAGTTTAATTTTATGGAACGACCTATCTGCAGAAACAATTTCAACACGATTTATAATGAATATGTGGATGAAATTTGGCTTAATGCTCAAAGTGACAAACAAATAATACATCAAATATTTTTACAGGATTTGTTTTAATTAAGAATTCGAATTATATGTGACATATTAATTAAAAGTACTTATATTGCCTTACATTTATTGCAGGTATACAATGGAATATCATTAATTTCAACACTTTGCACAAGTTGATGTAGATACTGAAAAAAACTCAACTAAGATATGAACTAAATAGCGACAGGTATAACAACCAATGCTTATTTATAATCACCTATTGAACTTCTTTGGATGCTTGGAATGCTGTAGAGAGATTCGCTGAAAATGTGTTAAAAATCAGGAAGATATTTCTCGCCACAGACGAACATGAGTAAGCAAAGATTATGCCGAAGTCTGGACGCAGACTATTAGCAAGCAAACAAACCGTAACCTTCCCGAAGTAATACGAATGTGGTCCCGGAAGATCTTCCTGATAAAGAGGTATGATGTTTTAGTCGATAAAAGTCTGGCATACCGATATCATGACGATGGTACTGACGGCCAAGCCACCCAGGAAAAAAATAAAAAAATACTTTATTGTATTTGCTGTTACTAATTAGAACTAACGCGTATACAACTATATAATCCTTATAAATCCTTATAAATTGTTGTACTTTTAAATCTCCACGCTTTAAAAATTTCCTTATTTTTACCTAACATTTCCTTTCAAAGATTCCTTGCAACTGTCATCTGTCAACCTTGATGCTGCAAATGTCAATCATTTCATTAACTGCTACTGCCAACAGTTAGACGAAAGTTGATTAATAACTATGTTTTGCGACAGGCAAACAGGAAATGGGCTCGTATTTCCTTAGCAGCTTGGTCAAACCCTACTTGGCGCTACTCCAAAGGTAGAGCTTCCGACTTGGTACATAAAAGTACATCGGAATTACATAGGTTAATATCTGTCCTAACGGAACATTTGACTATAAGTATGGAGCTACGATACGTTTGGCCTACCCTGTCATATCTCCTGTAGTAGATATCTACTATCGCTTGAACACGTTACACCATCTGCTATGTCTATGTCCAAGCATGTTTAGAACCAGAACCAGGAGTCATTAAGGTTTGAAAGCAAAGCATAATATTTTTAACGTCTACATAGATAAGATAGTAAGTGTAATTGAAGCCAACGTTCACTGTGCTGAGTAGTCCTCGGAATTTCTTGAAAGTATTCGCTGTTAATAAAGAGATAGGAATTATTTGCTTGGGGCAAATAGCTAACTGTAAAATAAACTTGATTAATTAATGAAGAGTAATATCTTTACAAAGTGTATCTTCTGAAACTGACTCTTCTTGGTTAAAACGTATCTAGTATTTGTGAACGAAACATCACCTGCAGTGAAAGACAAGTGCAAAAAAATGTATTAAACCGCGTATCAAGAAAACCCTAAGTTTCTCCTTTAATTCTGTCCAGCTCTCGAACGAAATTCTTTAAGTTTTGATGGCTACCAATTTTGAAGGTCTGAACGTCGTCTCTTACGTTGTAGTAAAGTATTTTATAAAATGTGCACATATTGACAATGACAAACATACGTCTTAAGTAATATGTGTTATTATCAACAGCAGTTAGGGACGCTTATCTCTTATCTCTACACATTTATGAATCTATGCTTGGTTGCAACCAGCTAGTACTATTTACCTCCTTTTCTATTCGATAAATAGAAATATTATTATAAGTACTAATAAAATATAAGTATGCAAGTCTGCATAAATTAACAAACTCACAAATACAAATACGTTTCTCACCTGCTGCAGCAAATGGGTAAATTCACAAGAATGGAGTTTCTTGTAAATATTTTGTCCGTTTGTCAATATAATCACTTTGTTAATATAATTAAGTTTATCACACAATTACGTATGAAATCCTTTAAATATTCCCACATTTAATTTCCATTTGAACGCTTAATTTACTTTCCCAGATCTATGCATATTTAATAGGACACACATGAAGTGAAAAACCCATCAAGGATATTAAATTAATGAAATCTATTAATCAATTTTAAACAAATTATTTTAAAATAATTAAGCCATGTCAGAATGTCTGTGTAGCCACAGTATTTGAATTAATTCCATTTACTTCTAGTAGAACTAAAAGACGAAGAAAATGAAATGCAGGGTTGTTAACACAAGTATAGCGTAACAATCCATAAACCAGACTGAGGATATACCCAAGTAGAGAAATTCTTCTCATCCAAATTAAATAACAAAATCGACTGTGCTGATGACATTCAAAACTGCTTCAATCTGTCAATGTGATGCCTCTCTGCCGTTCTGCCTCTTGCTGGGCCTGTTTGCTGTTGAGTATCGGGTAAATGTGGTAATGTGGCTTTAACCCATGCAAGTGGGTTTATGTGCTTACACAACTCAAATTTAATTTCAAAATTTACACAATGCAATGAATTTGCAGATTTTCCCATTTATTTTTCTAGCTGAAATTTAACTGTGGGTGCTTCAAATGTTTATTTACGAGTGTTGTGAAATTTTTCAAATGATGTGTGAGTACACATCCTTTAATAAAATATTTTGTACAGCCACATTTTGTTTGTTACGCTAAAACTATTATAAATAGCAAAATGAAGTTGTTAACAATTCTCCTCAGTTCCACTTCAGTCAAGCTGTTAGTGTTTTACATGAAGTGAATAACGGATACTTTTGGTATACGTATACCAATTACTTAAACATTTATTGTAAGTAAAAGAAAAATATATATAACACTTCTTCTGATAAATAGGACTATGGCAATATTTTCGTAATCCATACAAGATCATAAAGTAGACAAGAGTATTCTGATTAAAGACGCGACGCTTAAAATTCGTCACTGTGAATGATAAAAGCGATCACGATGTAGAATGCAATCGAAAAGATTGTGAAGGCGATAGGACATTGCTGTCGCTATGACTAAAATAATAAAAAAAAGGACGTGGAAACATAAAATATATATGTAGTTTGGACTGCATAAAATATAGGAATATAAAAGTTATATAAGTTATCTTAACATCTCGACAAAATTTTTGAGGTCATCACAATGGGCAATACATACCTCCGAGTGGAAGTGCTAACAAGGGTCAGTACGCGCCTTCCGAACCTAACCTACCTTAACTTACACTTATAATAGTAAAATGAAAATGTGTCTTAAAAGGATAGTACTTTACAGGGACTACACACTTCGATATTTTATGTTCAGTCGATTCTTTGAATTACATTGGTGAACTCTCTTATTAAATAACAAATAATGCAACTACCTTATATATCATAGTACAACAATAGTAATCATCGATATTGGACTGTAGTTGTAGGTTATTTTTTTAAGAAATGTACAGGGACATAAAATTAATTATGATTGATGAGGTGAGACACAATTAAGTATTAAGTTTATTGCACTCACCTGCATAAAATAGAGGCAGCATATTAAAGATGATAAGAAGTGAGAAAAGAGCGCGTCCAAATTTTTGCAAATCCGAAAATATATTGAAAGTTTTCTCAGTAACCAATTGTAGTGTAGACAAAGGTCTCGTGCGATTGCTATCCTCGTCAGTTTTTCTTCCGTTGTCAATAGATTCTTCGCGTTTTTGGCAATTGTTGCAGTCATTAGTTGCTGTAAAAAATGTTCGTTGTTTCGATATAAAAGTTGTATTTGGTTTTGTGTTGCTTGATGTTGCTGATTGCTTAGCAACATTTGCGGCTGCTGTTCTGGCATTACAGTTTGCATTGGTTTTGCGATTTCTGGAAGCATTAAGTGATTGTTTATTAATTGCATGTTGCTCGCTTGCATGCACAGTTGCTCGGCAACATGTTGCAAAATTTTGGCAGCTTTTGTATAAGGAGACTTGTGTTGCAGTTTGTTGCTTATGCGATACGTGTATCCCTGTAGTAAATTTGTTGCTGTCTTTAGCAGTAGTTTGGCAACAATAGCAGACCGGCCAATGGCTTGAGGCGGTTGCGTAAACAGTATTATTAATTGTTTTGTTGTTGACAGTTGCGTTTTCTCTTTCTTTGTGAGCACCATTTTTTTGTAGTTTATTAAAATCAGTGCTGCAGCTGTTGCTCTTAGCTGCTGTTGCTTGCTTTGTATAGGAATCCAACATTGTTTCATTTGTGTTTGCAATATGTTTGTCATTGTTATTGTTGTTGTTGTTGTTATTGTTGATGATGTTGAGTGCATAATCACTTGTTGTGTTATCCTGTGCTTGCATCCTTTTTGGGTTGTTTTCTTTTCCTCGTTGCTGTTGTATTTGTGTTGCATGCTTTCCGTAATGCGTACCTTTCTGATATCCGTTTTTTCCGAGGTGCCACACGGATGCCTGTGCATCATCTGTGCTTTGTGTTGGTAGTTGCATCCATTCTGCTTGATTTTGTTGCAAATATTTGTGTTCCTGTGTCGATTTCGTAGGTGTAGAATTTGACACAGTTTTCCATGTTGCTTCAACGGTTTCAACGGTGAAAACCTCGCATATATTATTATTCCTTGGTTTTCTTTCCTTTTGAAATTGTGGGTGCTTTTCCCGTTCTTCTTCCTGTATTTGTAGTTGTTGTTGTAGTTGTTGGTGTTGTTGTAATTGTGTAATCTGATGATGTTTTGTTCTGTGCTGTGTCTTTTCTGTTTCCTTTTGCTCCTCAGGGTCACATGCAATCGGGGCAGTTGTAATGATGCTTGAAGAATGTGGCTGTTTGTTTTCCAGTTTTTCAGTTTGGGCAGAAATGTTATTCTTGCTGCTGGGCTTTGATGGCAATGACGATTTTTTTTCAGCAAATTGCTTCCGGCCGATGTCAAGCAATTCTTTGCTTTGCTTTTCAAGCAAATATAGGATTTGTTGTTGTTGCTGTTGTTGCTGTTGAGATTTCGATAGTATTTCGAAAGTTCCGGATTTGAATCCGTTAATTTGTTCGATAGTTGATTGTGTGATAGTTGCCTTTGTTGTAATTGTTGATGTAGTTGCTGTGTTATCGAATTGTAGTATCTGTGATGAGGCCATGTTGTGCCCTAAAAAATAAAAAAACGATAACATTATTTTAAACTAATTTTTTCTGCTCAAAACGAGAAACGAGGAACGAGAAATGAAATAAAGATTTGTTTAAAGCGTTAAAATGATGAATTAGCTTAATAATGCAACCCAAAAAATGGAATCCTTTAAAACTATTTTTATATATGCGTAAATATTGGAATATGTGTGTTAGTTTATCAGACTAACACATTCACCCTTAATATCCTTAAGCCAAATGTGTTAGGGTTGTGCTCTTAAGGAAGAAAAAAATTGGTGAGTGTGCAAAAGAAAAGCCAATGTTATTGTTACAATTTGGAAATTGGGTTTTCAATTTTCATCTGCGTTCCTTTATTAAATTTGGTCAATGTTAGTGCGTTGTGTGTCTGCTTTCATTTATGAGGATTTCAATTTCATCCTTTTTATCTTCGAATGCTAGTTGGACTTATTGTTTTCATACTTTTTGGTTCACAGCTTAGAGTGGCTATTATAAATAAAAAACCAATAAAATTATTTTTTCTTTTTGGCAAAATAACACCAAAATAAAATAATCAATTCATAAATAAGATCGAATTACAATTTTTTAATTTAAGTATTATTTTTTTTGCAAAACCCCAAAAACGCTAATGTGTTTTAAAAAGTTATAATTATTTCAGGTGTTTAGGGGAAATCAATATATTGTTCTAACTAATTTTCTTGTAATAAAAGGTATTGGTTGACAATCTAAGCACTAGGAATCATTTATGATAAAATGTAATATCATTTAAAAAAAATGTTCATCTTCTTCAACTTTTTTATCGTCTTCATATAGGAATACTCATAACTGAACTTACAAATTACAAAAAATGAAAAAAAAAATTAAATTGAAATTTGTGACGATTGACTTAAAAGACGTGAAAGATAATATGGTATAATGGCATCAAAAAAAAAAAAACTTAAAAAATAAGTTTTAATTTTTCAAAGAAATAATTCGTTATTTACCACTATCTATAATTTTATAATACACATTGCAACACATTGGGAATCTTTTTACCAAGTACAATATTAGATATTATGTTCTTTGTACTGAATCGATCAATACTGACTCGTACTGGCTTATGACTGGTTCATTGGGATTATATGATTCTGTAATGTAAAAGGCATATCTGCTTCTTCCGTGTTTATCCTGAACTGTTTATGTGATACTACATACTTCTGCCACTACATCACAAATGTTTGCTTTAGGCATAATGCTGTATCCTGACTCCCAGTTATCGTTGATATGAAGCTGCTTGCTACCACACTAAGAGATAAATGATTACAGAGGAGACATTTCGACTTCAACTTTCCAGATATTATTTTAGAGTAGATTTTATCCTTTTACCAAGTTGAGCAATATATTTAAGAATTTACTTTCGACAGTAACGTTAACGTTATTTATTAACTCAAGAGTGTTTTTTGAACAGCTAAATTGTAAGTGGAGCTAGCTAGGTATATTCCATTACAATGCAATTCTTAACACAATTACTGGGTTTTGAAAATAAGTATTTTTGATTTAGATTGAATTTGAATAAATTTCTATTATAAAGATATATAATTGTAATTAATACTTTAGGTATTGTTCTGATATTTTAACGTTTCAACAACCTAAGACAAATGTTGGAAGTACTCCATATAAGAAAATAATGGCAGTTTACCCAAAAAATATACTTTTGCTTGGACGTTTTTTTTGATAGGATTAGGAGAGATCCTGTGTAAAATGATTCACCAAAGCACATAAGCAGCAAAACTCTATGAAAAGAATATGCCAAATCTATTCATTTGGAAATTTTTGTTTTAAATTATAGGTAATTGGCAGTGCAGGTAATCGCTGGTAGCAACTGGAAACTGCAAAGTACAAAGTGCTCCCGGTCAGTATATAGATCAGATTGGTTGTTTAAGAGTTGGTTCCTATTAAGTGGGTAAGAACTATTACAATAACAGGCTTTCTTACTTACTTCCACCGTATTACTTTTAATTTATTTAATAAACAAAAAGAAACTCATCATATTTTAAATCAAACGTCACTTATAAGCTTTAAAAGTTTAGAGTATCCGGTTTTAAGTTAAAATTTTTTGGATAAAATCTATCTTCAATGTTTGGCGAAAGCTTATAAATCTATGAGCGTGATATTACGGTCTTTGTAAAAGTTTAAATAACATCAGTTAAAAATAAGATGTCGCAAGTCGCGAACAGCTTTTCAAAGCTTTTGCTCAAGTGGACCATCAAAAGGTTCGCAACAAAAGTTTCATTCAGCAAATCATATAGCTTTATTATATATTTTGATAGCATACATAGTTATGTTATTAACAGAAACTAAAACAATTCTGTTAAAGCAAGCAAGAACAGAACATGTATCTGGAATTGTTGTTTATGTGGCGACTTTGGTAGGTAAAGGAAATTGTTGCTAATTTTTTTAATTTATTTTTTTTTTATTTTAAATGAAAAGTGTTTACCCATTGCAGTCAGAACGTAAAGTTTGTTACTGCTAACGAACTTTCACCAAAAACAGATATGTTTCTATATTTTAGCTGTTAACAGTTGCTAACATATGACTGGAAATGTTAACAGAAACTTCTACCAGATGAAACGAATCTTATAATATTTGCAAATTGCAGAGCACATAAGTTACAGAATTTCAAAAATGTCTAAAATATGGCAATCTCGAATAGACCTTAGATGAGTATGAGGTCTTAGTGAAATGAAGCTCTGTAAACTTAGTTGATTTATTGTGACAATCTCAAAGAGATACCTAAAGTTTTCACGAATTGTACTTAGTTTATATTTTAATCAAAGATTTTATAGCAAAAATATATTTTGAGCTTTATAATTTTAATTGATTACCAATTATTTTGTTTTGTGCCATTATGTGAATAGAATGAAGCTTTTAAAATGTTAATAACATTAATTTTTCTATAAATATTTCTTCTTCTTCTTTAATATTTGAAAGTTTTCAGTATGTGTTCGAAATTACTTTTATAACCGCTATTCTTTTATTTTTATACTTTATTTATTTATTTATACTGTTTTATACTGCTTTGTATAGTATTGTTTCGAGTTCTAAAATCCATACCACCAATATCAAGAGCGTTAAAAAGCTTTCTTATGGCTTTTTCATTCAAGTGGAACAAAAAGCTTTTGTTGTGTTGCATTTAATTGCCAATCAAATTCGAGTCCTTTTGTTTAGTCAGAATGAGTTAATAGTTTTTAAATTTAAATTTGTCTACTTTTTAAATAATGTGAGATTGTCTTTTCAGTAGATTTTATTTTGTTATACATTTAATAATATCGCACTGATACCATATAAATTTTAAGATTCGATTAGATTCTACAGCTATTTACATAGTAAGGCTTATTCCTGGGTCCAAATCTAAAAGTTCATATAACATGATTTCCTTTCTTAATTTCTATTTTGCAAACCATCTTAATTATTTAGTGAGTTTTGTAACTTTCGCATTGGATTACTGACAAGACTTCGTACCATATTTGTCTCCAGACTGAACAGGTTATATAGTCAAGAAATTATAAGACCAAAACAATAATATACCAAAGAATGTACACCCTACTTTTCTCCTTGTCAACGCAGTTTAGATAAAAGCTTGGAGTTGCCAAAATTAGCCATTCGAACATGTACTTTCTAGACAGTGTTGTGTTCCTTCTCCTAGTTTTATATAGACTGAGGTCCTACTTCTACTGTGGAATTTATTTTAGTGTTTGGGATAAATCAATTCAGCATTTCAGTATTACAGTTTCTTTTAACCAACTTGTGCTAGTTTTACGGACGAAATTCTATATTTTCAGACAATTTAGCAATATTAAAGACATATCTGCTCTTACCTTGTATATTGTATATTTTTTGTCATAATATAATATTAATAATTTTATGTCCTGGTACGGAGTTATTATTAATGCGATGCTGTTTCGATTCAGACACCTTTCCTCGATTTTATTTCAACGTGTCTATTTGTGAATATATCAATATTCATTCATATATTCATATTCTCCAAAATCTATTTTACCATTACTTGTATTGCCAGAATTTTAGCTTGGAAGGTATTTTAATGGTTGTGAATTCAGATTTGCATATCAAACTCAGTTAATTCGTTCCTTTGTTGCTCGAGTTTCGGCTTGATGTAATGGTCAAGAATTCAGTCTATTACGAGACAAGATTCGGAAAAATTACCATTTTGTTTTGATCCATTAGTAAATATTTTGCTATAACAATCGAACAGAATCGAATCCTTTGTCGATGCTTTGGTACTAGTATAACTGCTATAACTACTATTAGCAGTAGCGAAGAATGAACAAATGAAAATGATGGATCTCCCATATTTGTCTTATATTGTCATTTTAAAAGTTTTATATAAAAGTATGCGTGTTGTTCTTGACTTTTATTAAGTGATTACCCTTACCACTCTTACTATCATTTAACGAATACTTTTGCTACTCTTCCTATAACTTTAACACTATAACTGATGATTTGAGCTCCGTTAAGCACAAAACATCAGCTACAAATATAAGTTTATCTTACTTAAGGCTCCCTTATAAATTTAGAACTACAGAATAAATAAATATTTTAAGAATGTGTTCCCACTCTACATCAAAAACGACCAAAGTAGAAGAATTGTTCATAAATTTGCAACAAGAAATGTTAACAAACCAATTTGCATGCATTAAAATACCAGAAAAGCAACTTTCCTGAAGCTGAGGGAACATTAATTTGACCATAAGAAATGAAACTGCTTCGGTACATGCAAACTGCTGTACTCAGCACATATTTTCTAATTAAACACTTACTCCATATCCGGCATGACAGACACTGCCAACCGACAACTAATTTCCTTTATCTTCCATTATATACTCATATTTGAAGTGCTACGATGGTATTTGCCAAGGTGCCATTTGAATTCGAATGTGGAAAATATACTGACAATGTGTAAAAAAATCGCCCGAAAGCATTCATAATATACGTCAGTTAATAAAT